TGCCTGGCCCCAGCTAGCTGTCTCTTTCTACTCGGTACAACGCGCCCTGAGCGTCGAGAGAGCAGCGGATACGACATCTACTATGTCGGACTATGATTCGTGGGGCTTGGATGTTCCTACCGAGTCCTTGTGCCTCCGCCGTTACGAATTTCTTGCTTTTGCTGAGCCCGGGGGGTGGGGGGCCGCTGTCGCGTACCTAGCAGAGGCCTCGTATAGGCTGTTCTGCAAACTGTCATCCCTGTCGAAACTTGATTGCACAACCTGACCTGTGCCGGGTGCTTCACGATACCATGATCTATTGATCATATGCATGAAATACGACATGGAACTGAGGAGAGGCAAGAGGCGGTCTAAGCAATGCACTCCGTTAGGTTGGTTATGTCTCACATCCCGTGCTGTCATTCTCCAACAACGAATAGTAGAGGGGCTTCTTCTCGCCTATATTGGCACCCACTCTGACTACACGTCTTAGGTGCTACCTGTCAGGTCGGAATGTCAAATCAGGGGACGCTCAGTCCCTAAATCTTAGGATTGGTCGCCTTTATAGGTCGTCGGAACTGACGGACCATGCAACCACCCGCCGTGAATGCTTCGTACTTGTCTACCTGTTGCTTCGAGCTTCGTTATGATCCCTAGGCTATGATGAATCTCTCAAGGCCTTCAAACCGAATTACTTGACATGGATCCCTTCCCTTGACAAACTTCTCCAGCTCAGGTATCCACAGTATGGATGATCAACGGATGTGCCTCCGTCTTACGCTTCCGCTGGAACAACACGTATTTGCCTCCGCAGATTGGCACCATATTTTCCATCTTCCAATCCATGCCAAGTCATTAGGGTGCTTACTGGATAGATCACGTTGCTGGCTCCCAATCCTACGATGGACACTCTATTGACTCCTTCGGTCGGGGGTGAGGGAGCTCCTCCTAGCTGTCAAACCCTCAACCGAGACATAGTGTAACATAGACTACCCGCTTTTGAAGCCTGTATTAATGCCAACGCATCCAGACTCATGCTCACTCTAGACGCAGATGGGCTTGAGGGGCGTGGTGAAGCACGGTGTCGAATGAAAGCGGAAGAAGCGCAACTCCAAGCAATACTTTGCCCCCGCGCGGCCTAATTTTATAAGAGCAGTCTGCCTCCAAGCAAAAACAACTGCCTCTCATCAACTACCAGTATCCATTCAGAATGGAGCAGTCTCCTAACAAGGGCAAGTCTGGAGCTAGTGCCTCCGAGCCCGGTCCATCTTATCATCGTTCGCATTCTTCTGAGGCTGAGCCTGAAACTAGTGCTGGTTCAGGTTCATCTACTGGGTGCCTAGCTTGCCTACGCCCTTACTCGCTTGGTTTTACCCCCCCTCTTCTGCATGTTCATCATGTCACCGACCATTTCCTGCTGTTCGTTCTGTTGAGGAGGACTCATGCAACCCTCCTGCTCCTCCGAGGGATAACCCATCCGCTCCACCCGATCCACCCAACGACGATCAAAGCGAACTTCCTGTTCCAGTGCATCGCCCCTCAGTCCCTTGCAAGTCCGAAGGATAGGTTTATTTTCTTATCTGGATTCTGCAGACTATGAAGGAATTTCATGATCTCAAGGTGGTAATCGTGGGGCAGATTGCCCATCAGTACCATCTAGATAGTAGTGTGGTTGAGGTATGGCCCTTTATCATATTCTATGAACAGATAGATAGCTTACTCGCTACGGAGAAAGGTTGAACTTATTGTTCAGTCGGATCGTTCGCCAGCTACGCTGCGGATGGCCATGCTCCATGGGCGAAAAGGATTATTCATACCCCTACGCAAGAACTCTATTCAATAATGACGTCGACCTCCAGATGAGGTTCTTGGGCAGAGCAGTCAGTATAAAGATCCACACCCTCTCCGTCGGAGGCCCAATACCACCAACAGTAGACGACGAGCGAATCTATCGTTTCACCCTACGACGTACCAGTCAAGTCATTCACAATTTTCATCCATATTCACTTCCAGTGCTCTCTCTTCCCCTTCTTATCTTAAAGGCGGCCAACGATTGCCGAAGATACAGCGCAGAAGATGCAGAGCTCGTGTGGGCTTTGGCCCAGAAGCTTGACAAGAAGCACAAATGGCAGGATTGGCAGGTAAATGGGCTTAAGGATAATCTCGGCAATCTCGTGGAGATGGAGACGAGACATGACCAAAAAAGGTCATGAGACGAGTGGGTCGAAGCCCTCCGTTTGGAAGGGCAAACTAGTCAGTGATGTTAACTAATTATTTTCAAGTTGATGTGTCCTACACGCGTAATAGCTCATGTAGAAGCAGTAACAACCTAAAGAATGGTTCGTGTCTAGTACTAAGATCGATGATACTGAATAGTGAAGCTACACACTCCAATCACGCGACAAGGATGAAAACCCTCCCCGGCCTCTAATCCTCCTCTTTGTAAAACCGCTCATAAATGACTTTACCTGAGAGGCCTCTCATCTGCTTTCGAATTCAAGGTTCCTCTTGAAGTCTGGATCCACACACCAGAATATGAGGTTCGGCAGAGTGCCCTTCGCCCGCATGTCTTCCCATAGCTGATCTAGTAAGGGCTTAAGCTCGAGATAACTCCATCCCTGTTCATCCATGACCGCGCAACAGTCCTAGATTTTCCCGAAGGGCTGTGGGAGGTGGTGCGGACTGAACAATGTCGGGGGGAGGAATCTTGCGGAATTCTGATGAAATTCCTCGATGAGGCGGAGCCAGGGCCAAGCCTTTCTTTTTTTTGAGAGGCCAATCACGCGCCTCTAGCTCGATTATCGACTGCACCCATGGAACCGGCTTGAGCATCTTGACCAGGTAGAAATCCTGAACCGACCCAGGGCCATTCCACTCGGCAAGGGGCAGATCATGGTTGACCATGAAAACCGGGTCGTCTTTGCTGGGGCGGCCAACCGGGGGGGGGGGGGGGGATCGGGAAATTGCGGAGCCACTGAGACTTCCGAAGCAGACCGATGCCGAAGCTATGGGGGAGTTCGCTTTTGGCAAAAAAATGAATGGACGGGCCATGTACAAGACTGCCAGATCTCGGGAGGCACCTGCCGCCAGTCAAATCTTGCAACCCGGGTGTCATCATGTATGTATCCATCGGCTTGGAATATGTTGACCGCTGTTTCCAGGTATTCGTCCGGGATCACAACCGTAACCTCATACTGCATCAGAGGATGTTAGTATTCTTCCGCTACCTCCTCCATGGATCACCGTTCCGCCTGAGGAGCATCAACTTACAGTGTAAGTACCTTTAACCACTTGCATTAGTACGAACATCGTTCCACCCCAGATCACGTAGGGCACCTTGGCGTCCCTAGTCTTGACGCGAGATAATGTCGGTTTGCAGAACCTGCAAAGAAAGTAGCAAACAATCTAGTGGATGAGTCTGCAACAACGATAAAGAATACTACATCCAAATAAGCCGGGTGTGAAGCCTCTATTTATGTCCTTCTGGGGATAAACAATCCACATTCAAAGCTAGATTCCATGATTCGGCCGAACTTTCCATTTTTTTTCCACGGAGAAGGAGCAATATGACCTCCATCCTACCTGCGGGTGTTGTCATTGAACTCTTCATATTTCGAATACATTCCTTTATATTGTGTAGGAAGAACAAGGCAATAGTCATCTGGATGGGGTTGCATCACGATCCTAGTATATCCAGTCTGGTCGGTTGTTCAATCTACTTACTACTTAATCTAATCGGATCTTATCAGATCTAGATCTGGTTTTCCGGGACGTAGCGTAGATCATCACCTGATCATGCAGGGATGTGCCGATGGGTTGCAGGAAGCTACGTCGTACATTATGTAGGTATGTCTCTGTACGAAGTACGGAGTACGCTCCTTGTATTTGGGGTCTGTGCTGCTTCTCTGTGTTGATCTATCGTCATTATCTTTCTTGTGTATTATCGAACATACATTCCGCTAACAGCACCCACCATCAGATAGACAAGTGGGAAGCTCCCAGACTAATGACTTTAGAGTAAGCCAATAAGTACTAATCATAATTAGGAGTTCGCCATCTTCATTCAGTCTGCCCCTCCATAGGACACATGAGCCTACCTAGTACCTACCAAGAGGTACATCCGAGGACTCTGCTATTTACAATACAATACAAGCATTGCGGCTTCTCCCTTATCACGGGTACCACAAAGTGGATCAAAATTTGTAGCAGTTGTTAATCAATGGTAGGTACCTGATACTTACCGGGTCTTGATAATAGATAGATATTGGGCATGAACGATCACTAGACCATCTAGTACAGAGTTGGAATTTTTCAATACCAGACACACTCACTTAATCCCTACAGAACATGGGATTCTAGTGTCTTGTCTTTGCCACTCTGGGAATTTACCCATATACTCCGTAATGAAGGTTTGGTGAATCATGTAGATGTAGTAGGGTCACTGCTAGGAAGGGACCAGGGGACGAAAACACAAAGCACGTGTGAGAAATAGGGTCCTAGTATTTGCTGATAAAGTACGTTTACTTTCTGGTATTAACATGAAGAGATTAAGATTACCGCGTAAATGATGTATTCAGTCATATATGTCACGTTGGCGAGTTAGGCATTGAAAGCGGCGGTGGGTATATAGGTTGTTCGATTTTGTGCGCGATTAGTCTAAACAAAGGAGCGATGGGTTTAATTTAATATCTAAATCTTCAAGAGCGAGGAAGGAGTTGGGGCCCGAATTGGGGAAATAACTACTACTACTACTACTAGTTAAGAGTGGCGCGTTTGAGATGACGATTCAACTATATTAAATGATGGATGGATGGATGGATGTCTGGCTGTCTGGATGGCGGGGCGCCGACCGTAAGAAATGGCGCTGGGTGGTGGGAAAGAGAGGGTAAGGAGAGAGAGAAGACTGGGTTGTACCCAGTCATTAAGCAACATGAAAGCAATAAATAATAATTAGTATAGGAGGAGAGATAAGATGGTCGAGGTATTGGAGAGAGAAGAAAAAAAAAAAAGATAAAAAAGATTGGGGCAAGCCGGGCTTGAACCGGCCACCTTCAGATTAACAGGGACATCCTCGGAAGGATGAAGCCTATGGCCGAAGTTAGAGCTTCAGTCTGACGCGCTCCCAGATGCGCCATTGCCCCTACTTGTTGTAAGTAGCACTCTTTTCCCTCCTGTTATAGGCATTCGGGTTTATTGGTTAGTCCACTTTACAGGGCAATTGTGGTTTTGGATGGCGAAATAACTGTACTTTAATATACTTTCAGATAAGCCCTTGTATTAGTAACCATTGTATAACCTATTTCCTTGGTATAATGGTGAATTCCATGACTGGTCGGGGTTCAATTGCAGCGGTTGTATACTGAGGGGTATGGCCCGTAGTTGTACGGAGTGGATGGTCATACAATCCTGGAATATTACTAGCGATGAGGAGGATATATTCCGTTTCATCATTTCTGTACCTAGCAACCTGAAATTGTAGAGCCAGGTTAATCCCAGCATCAGCATGGCCATAGGCAACTGTTAATAGAACGCATGGTACACTGGAAGATATGCTCTCCAGGATGCAAATCGAGGGCAATGCTACCAACTTACTACAGGAAAAAGGTCACGATGGAATAATTCCGAGCGTTACTGACATTAATCTCCATGGTGCAGGAGGGTTCTATCAGCCACACGCTGTCAGTTCTCAATACCAACAACCTTCAACATTATCAACTCTACAAGTCCATGCGCTTGGGCGACTTGTTCATCTATCAAGGTACTCCCTACCAACGCACCAAACTGCACCATTGAATCCAATCCAGGCTGGACTTCACATATCAGACAAGCCACATATACCATACCATACCATCCATCTCCTACATCTACTAAAGTACCCAAAACATACCCCTATCTCATGATCTCAAAAACATCGCTTAATTTCAACAAGTACGGGGCAATGGCGCATCTGGGAGCGCGTCAGACTGAAGATCTGGAGGTGGCCGGTTCAAGCCCGGCTTGCCCCATTACTTTTTCTTTTTTGACCTCCTCAATTGAATGAGGAGTTCATTTAATTTCTATTATGTGTGCTGTGGGACCGAACAGCCGTTGTGGCTTAGTCAGTGCTCATGCGGGATGATTATGTAAGTAGTTAGTCACCATTCTATCGTACCCTAGGTTGGCTCCCTAAGCTATCTACAACTGCACCCCAGGAAAACAAGAAGCAAGACGTACAAGCTACCAGAGAATTGCTTCTTAAACTTGGCATTCGCTTCAACCTAAAAGACAAACTGGTGGTGTCCAGTGCACAGAACATCAATGCCCATGATGTTGAAATGGGTTCACAAATTAGAATCACTATAGAGAACTCCATGACCATCTAGACATCTATGTATCTTATGTTGGGGGCCTATTATACTATATAACATGTGTATGATAACCAAGTAACATTCTCTGCACGCCAAGCAGCAGACACAAGAAAAGTATGTAGACGGAACTTCAATCACCCGTGTAACTATATACTATTGCCGGGAGAGCTGGTTCCTTGTCTCGCACGGATGCTCACATGGCGCACGTGGGTCTACTGGGATGGGTTGACTTACAAAAGTACAATGCATGACATGCTGTGTAACATATATGCTGTGGGATATTAATATGCCAGTGTCAATGGAACCATGCATGTACATCCACTGTGTTCCAAGACTGACCGGCTGAACTGTATTCTGTACATGTGGGTTCCAAGGTGACACGGGTATACAGAGTCTACAGGAGGTACAAAAAAAAAGACACCATGCACAGAAAAAAAGAATATCACAAAAGGAATCTTAAATAACCGACAGACAACAGGCCAAAACAACCCGAGGAGGGGAAAGGCGGAAGGGAAGAAAAAGGCAAACCCTAAGTACTAGTCACAATATAACATAACAAGTCGAAATATATGGTGTAATATTCCGGACAGCATAGTTTTCCCCTTTCCCCCCCCACCCCCCACAGTTTCAGTAAAATAATCATATGAGGCGTACAAAAAGATGACAACTATATAACACTGTGACCTGCAATGGTAGTCGAGTGCCCACAGCAGACCAAAAAAACAAAAAATGGGGCAAGCCGGGCTTGAACCGGCCACCTCCAGATCTTCAGTCTGACGCGCTCCCAGATGCGCCATTGCCCCATTGGTTGATATATTAAGTTTGCCTTAGAGGCTACATAAACCATTACTTACAAATCCAGTACAGCCTGACACCCACGTGGCATCGCCAATTAGGTTGGCTCTTCAAAGCCAGAGGCTTCAACATCATAGGCCCCATATTCATACTTGCTAGCAGAAGCCCAAGTCCATGCTTGAGGTAACGAGCGAAGCTATTTATCTTGAGCGTGCCATATCTGGACGGGTTGAACCACTAACAAGGTCTTGTTGTGTATACGGGCATCTTGGTTGGTGTTGGAAATCCATCGAGTCATGTTCTGCCATTTTTTTTTTTTTTCATATCGACTGTTGGCGAAGAATATGGAATTACTAAGAGAAAATTATCTTGACGTTCTTCCTTGGCAGATGGTTTCATTGACCTATATAGCAACTACTGGAGTGTGGCCTGTTGAGGATACTTGGATTGGATTGGTTAGGTTGGTTGATAGGGGGGGGCGGCAAGGGAGGGAGGGATGGGGCTTATTTCGATCATGATCATGGAGATGAGATTTGACTTGGAGACAGATAAGAAAGGTTGTATGAAATACTAGATGTATTATGTATGATGTATGAGAGGTAGTGATATGCATTAGCACTAGGTATATACATGTACGATCAGTCTGATCAACGTAAATCTGTACAACGATCCATTATACAGGTGCCACCCAGTTAAGCAGTATAAAGGCACACGGATATATGAACAAAAAACCACAGATATTTAAGAAAGTGTCCGCGTGGTACAACCACAATGTGCGCCAGATATGTCAGCTGCAAATGACCCAGACCATAGGTATTAATCGGCAAGAGAAGAGTGTAGACCTCTGTAATTGAGAGATCAAAATGTTCAGAGAAGAAATCCAAAACGATGAGATCATCCGTCCATCCGTCAATCCGTAAACGCCGTTTCTGCGTATTCCACTAGCATGTACCATGCATGCCATTCCTTGCAAAAGATATTAATGAATGGGAGAATTCAATGCACGTCACCCGTGATGTACATCATCTAGAAAAGCCGCATCACGTCGACAATCTCGACATTCCCTGGTCGGTCTCGTTCCATGTGGAACCACCAGTCCCGCCCGGTTTTGTGGCTGTAGTTCCACGACCCCGTGCAGGTATCCCGGTCCCAAGGAAGGGTCGTGGACGATAGACTCATCGGCGTCGCTGGGGTCGTGGGCGTGTTTGGGCTGGTGCCCAGTGCAGAACGACTGCCGATGCTGCCCCATCCGAAGCGAGACGTTGTAGTCGAGGTCGGAGACGGTGGCTCCTCGGGCACCGGTTTCGCGGCACCCTTGCCACCGAAGCAGTTCACCCCAACCCCAGCAGCGTAGGTAAGCGATTGGCTGGAGGCCAGCACATGTTTCCAATCAACCAGGCCTCCATCCCCATCTTGCCCTGATATGTCGGGACGAAGGACGAACCGCGGAATTGAGACATCCCCGTCACTTGTCCTGCAGCCTATCCTCCCCATGAAAGCGGGCATCCGGAAATCATACACGGTAACCGGCCCTTCGTGGTCTTCAGAGAGAATGTCATTCTTAGGCTGCACACCGCCGATGCCAAACTCGTCCATGTCCAATTCGGAGCCGTCATCCGAAGTGTCGTCCAGTGCACTGTCCGGAACGTACGAGTCGGAGTGATCGGTGATGAGAAGCCGCATTCCGGTTTCGGTGTCCTTTGCGGCCATATCGATAAAGGTTTGCGCTCGGATCCGAGCAGACGTCAAATTGTTTCCTGCAGGCAGCGCCATTGGTCGGGTTGTGACCGAGCCGTGGGAGCTGCGAGGGAGACTGTAACGGTCCGGCTTGAGCAGTGCCTGTCCGTTTGGCATCGGCTGGCATACAGCCTGGAGAACCCCCGGAGGTTCTATATCCGAGGGTGCTCGCAATGCTGCAAGACGGGGAAAGCCAGCCGAGAGGATACTCTGAGCGAGATGGGAATTCGGGGACTCTGTGTGTCGTGGTGGTTTCACAAACGGAACATAATCGAGCCTGCTGAGCGCGGCGGCGGAGTCAGGGCCCGTAACGTCCCAGTGCAGATATTTGAGGCTTGCGGAGGCGAAAAGCGGTTGAAAGACAATCCCATCGGCGTTCAGCGTCGGGCATCTGTTGCTCTGGACAAATTTGAAGCGTTCTAATTGTCTCAGCGATGACAGAATTTTCGAGACCGAGAGCAAGGATTCAATGTTCTGTTCGATAAGGGCCAAGGCTTTGAGCGAACGAGACTCGGGCCGCGTGGCATATTGACAGAGGCCGGTATCAGTCACACCCGGGAGGCCCTCTAGGCGAAGCGACTCCAGCGATGGCAGGCACAGCAGAGCGCTGTCCGCGAATGCATCGGCGTCGAATTTGGAAATGCAGAGATTTCGCAACGACGGCAAAAGACTGATCATGCGAAGAAAGATACTCGGTTCCAGGGCGTTGTTCTCATTCACACCATAGAGCATCAGCGTTTCTAGATTGGACCATGAGGTGTGATAGTTAAGAAATTCGAACATTTGTGAAGGGCCCAGGCTCCCGGGGCATGATGTGCTGCGAGGGGATTCTTCAGAAACCGCCGGGGCCTCTCCCAAAACCCATGTATGCTCTTTCAGCTTCCGCCGCGTGGACAACGCATGGGTCAGGCGATCGAACTCATGATTGTACGGGATGGTCAGGCCTAGCAATCGTTCTAAGTTCGGGCACACCATGACGACCGAGGCGACAAGATCTCGATACTCCTGCCATTGAGTGCTCTGCTTCACTGCCGTGAACAACAAGTCCATCTGGGGAACACGAAGCTCTAAAACGAGATTGGCCAGCAATTTCCTCTCCCGGAGGGTTCGTCGGAGCAACTTCAGGCGGCTTCCTCTTTTGAGCCGATATTTCTTCAACTGGGACGGTGAATCATTTCCAATGATGTGGACGCGGTTATACCTAGGTGGCACGAACTGGTTAGCATAATTCATTCCGGGGCAGACCCAGAAATTCACTCACA